GGTGGTAAAATAGAGATAAGCTGGTAAAAAAGAGAGGGAGAGGAGGGCCTGAGTAAAAAATGAGAGAAGGGGGATATAAGAAAAAAGAGAAGGGAAGCTGATAAAAAATAGGAGAGAGAAGGGGGGTCTACAAAAAAAAGAGAGAAGGAGAGAGAAAGGGGGAGCCAACAAAAAATAAATAAATAAGGGAATGTGAAAAGAGAAGGGAGAAAGGACAGAGAGAATGGGGACAAAAAAAAAAGAGGGGTACTGAAAACAAGAGAAGGGGGTAGGGGAAAAAAAGGCGGAGCAAAAAAACACCACAGAAGAACAGCTGAGAACAAAAGAGAGAGAGAGAGAAAGGGATATTAAAAAAAGAGACTGAGGAGCCAATAAAATTTAAAAAGAGAATCATAGCCAGCAGATGGAGAGAGGTGATTCTGCCCCTTGACTCTGCCCTGGTGGAACCTCACCTGGAGTGCTGTGTCCAGCTCTGGTGCCCACAATAAAAGAAAGATGTGGACCTGTTGAAGTGTGTCCAGAGGAGGCCATGAAAATTATCCAAGGGCTAGAGCAGCTCTCTGATGAGGACAGGCTGAGGGAGCTGGGGTTGTTCAGTCTGAAGAAGAGAAGGCTCTGGAGGGACCTCATAGTGGCCTTCCAGTACCTGAAGGGGCTACAGGAAAGCTGGGGAGGGACTTGTTACAAGGGCTTGTATTGCGAGGACAAGGGATTTTAAACTGACACAGATTTAGGTTAGAGATCAGAAGGGAATTTTTTAGAGTGAGAGTGGTGAGACACTGGAAAAGGTTGCCCAGAGAAGTTGTGGAAGCCCCATCCCTGAAAGTGCTGAAGGGCAGGTTGGATGGGGCTCTGAGCAACCTGATCTACTGCGAGGTGTCCCTGCCCATGCAGGGGAGTTCAAACTCAATGATCTTTAAGGTCACTTCCAACTCTAACCATTCTATGATTCGATGATTCTACGAAACAGGGGATGTCAAAAAAAAAAAAAAAAAAAAAAAAAAAAAAAAAGG